CCAGGGGAAACTTATATAATCCTGATTGCTTAGAAAAGTAACAGCACACAACACCTCAAAAACCCATCTATAGCACATGAATCGCAGTGAATTACATGCTAAAGTTACAGTAGATACTATGGATTTGGTCAAACCTCTAATCCTAAGTACAAGCAATAATAATAGTTATACATCTCTTAGCAGATGCCACTAATAATGAACCTTTTCAGACACATCAACAATCTCGAAACAAATGTGTTTGCACTCCAGCATGGCTTTTGGTGGAAATTATTTGTTTAATGCCATTTCCCTTGACTAAACAGAGACATTTTTATTTGCGAGCTATATATATCCTGTAGCTTGACCTACAAAGAAGACTATCCCCCATCCCTTGTTTCGGCTGGGATTATAAGCATCCTCTTCCTGACAGGAGGAAACCCTCCACAGTCTGGCTGACCCCACATGGGGAATTCATTCACAGGATGTTTTCACAGTCGGGCGTCTAGAAAGCACCCACAAGTTCAATCAGAGTGCTTTCAGAAGGTGTGAAGTCTAAACGGTACAACGTGGTCAAATGGAAATGCTTGACTGTTTAGAGTTGGTCTACAGCAAACAGAAGGACGAAAACGAGGGAGAAATCCACAGGAACTGTGGGATAACTTTTATAAATAACATAAGCCCTGCTAGATTATGTACAGTGTTTAACAGATCGTTAAAGTACATTATGAAATGTCATTAACTGATTTATATTATATTGGTATATTGTCTGAGATTACTGTTGATTATACTTTTTTTCATATTTTAAATATACGATCAGTCTTTGGTTTGGTTATTTTCTTTGTCCCCTTTAGCATTAATGACAGCATGACTGGAGCTGACATGGACAAAACCTGATGATCATGTTCTCCGTCATGACTTGAGAGCAATTTTTTTAATTGAAGAAAAAACATCTGATTATCTAGCAAAATCCTAAAACAGGTTTTTTCCAGATTTAAATGGGATTTCAAAGTTTTGGACCCCACATGAACTGCTGATTTCATAAGCATTGTATAACAGTTTACTGATGAAATTTGTTGTTACTCCAAAACAAACTCATTGCCAAAGAGTAACCTTTTTAAAAATGAACCTCTTACACAACTCTACCTTTCAGATCATAGATAAAACAGCAAGAAAATCTGACCTACCAACAGGGAGCTGCTCACATTGGGAGCTCCACACACTGCAGTTGTAGATGGCTCCAGGATTTTTGGTATGAGGATAAAAGCTGGAATCTGCCACAGGCGCTCCAACTATCAGCCTTAACAATAAATATGACATTAAACAAGTGTGTTTTGCCACTTTTGAAACCAACATCAAGATTTTAGAATGAATGATTCGTGATAAACGGTCCATCAGTGCGACAAATTAATTTAAGTACAAATATTTGTATAGTCACTGAATTAATAAGATGTCAGCAAAGCAGCAAGCATAAAATGTAGTTTAAAACAGTTTTAGATGGAGAAAAGCATGTCACACTGCAGGACATGTTTTGCAACCATGAATCCAGGGGCTGAAGTTAATCAGGGCTCGGGGGCAAAAGAAACTCTCACAGATATGCTCATGCGAGATGCTCATATGAGCAAGTTGTTCTGCAACATTTGATGCATTTCACATTATTTCGCTAGGCCTATATAGGCTTCTTTATCAGTTCAGACTTTAAATTAAAAACTAATAATAAAGTCATCTCTGAAGCAATAAATGTGAAAAACCACTCCCAACATCTCTAAAGCTTGAAACAGTTATATACTGTGTCAGTAGTAGACAGCTAACAGCTGTACGAATGTATAAAATGTATGCTGGCAGAAAGTTTGATAGTACACTCTAAAAAATGCTGGGTTAAATACAACCCAGTGCTGGGTAAAATAGGGACAAACCCAGCAATTGGGTTGTTTTGACCCAGCGGTTGGGTTAAATGTTTAACCCAACCTTCTGGGTAGTAACCCAACCGCTGGGTCAAAACAACCCAATTGCTGAGTTTGTCCCTATTTTACCCAGCACTGGGTTGTATTTAACCCAGCATTTTTTAGAGTGTGTAAAGGTAAAAGCCATGATTTATATTCACACGTGAGAACATATTTTATTTAATTGATTCAACTTGGGTTAGAAATACAAATGCACTAAAAATGCTCCTGAAAATCAGTCAAAGAGGGCAAATATAAGTAGTTTAAATCTCATTCTTGCCCATTCGCCTTTGAATTATAACTTCTCAAGCATGTGTAATGCACTTACCATGAGTCCTCAGCATGCTGATGAAGCAGAACCGAGTATCCGAATAATGATCCATTGGGTCCATGAAAAACTAAAGGATGCTCCACATCCAGATTGTAGCAGTCACACAGAATCAACAGGTACCACAGGATCCCAACTACAGATCTCCACTTCAGCGAATCTCTAGTGAGTAGTGGTGAATTCATCTCGTCAACAGTCATAGCACCACACAGATCACAAAAGAAAGCCAATGCTGCCTTGGAACAAAAGTGCAAAGAGTTCGAATAAACTTTTGGTAAAGATACCAGGAAGTTGTCATTGTAGTTGTGAGCTCGCGATGTGCGCTCGCCTGTTGCGCTCCGGCATCTCATCTGCTCGAGCGCCCCTCGCGTTTCATGACGTCACAGCGCTCTGAGTCAAGGGAAGCCTTTGAAGTGAGTGCCGGCGCTCCGCAGGGGCGGGAATGCGCGGATGCTTCTCGCGCGCTCTAACGGTCTCCAGTCTCCAGACTCTGGAAACTGAGGAAATGATGAAGAACACGATGTATTAACCGTCACATGTTCTGTTCGACGCCCCAAACGTCAGTGAATATCTCAAAAGTAATGCTTTTTTTTCCAAATTTCTGATTAGAAATATGATCCGACTTGACCAGATTACTTGGATTTTTAATTTGACTTATTTTAATGCTATCATTCATTTTAGTGTCACCACCGGTGGGCCCAATGGCGCGCTTGTATTCATTGTCTCTATCACATATTTTAGTAATCATAATATTATGTTGTATGTATTAATTATGTATCATTTGAAAGCTTAAAACCTTAAAACCAAAAGAATTCATCCTGTGAAAACCATTTTTAAATCGGACATTGCGTTACCATGGAAACGGTACTTTCAAAACTTTTAGTGGTCTTCTCCCCTTAGTGGGTGGAGTCAAGTGTCATATTACAAAATGCATTACGGTCTTTTAGAATCAAAATTAGAATAAACAATTTTCGGAAATGTCGGAGTCTCAATATTCCATATTTGGTGGTTATTTTTTGATAGAAGTAATATTGACGAGAAATGTGTGACACAAAAATGCATCAAGAAAATTCAATGGAGTTTTGATGACACTCGGTGGCTGATCGTGGTATAAATGAATGCACTTAATAAAATCTCACAGGAACCTCATTTTTTTTATCAACTTCAAATGTGGAACATAACTTATTTAGACATACTGTAAGGCTTTCATTTTATAGCAATTTTGGATTCAAAAATATTTTGTAAAATGTATTTTATATAGGCTAAAATGAAAATATATATATATAGTACAGTGCATTTTCTTTACAGTAAATTTAAACTTATATAACTTTTTGATACTTTAATATTTTGAAATGATTCCACGTCTGCAGATTGTCTTCTTAAAGAAGAGTTCAACCAAGACAAGAGTCTGTATTCCAAAGCGTTCATGAATTATAACAATTTAAGTTTGGATAGTGCACTTTCATGTCTATGTTCAAGGTTGACACGTAAGGGGTTAATCTAATTCAAAAATAAACCAAATAAAAAAATTAATGTAGGTAATTATATTTTATATTTGGAATTACACTGCATAAATAAATGATTAACCCTACAAATATATATATATTTTTTATAATGCTTCATAATCACCTTTTTGAAAATGTCATGACTTATTGTGGTAAAACGCGAAAGCAAGTCTTAAAATCTCTGCTGGGGTTTTATTAGGTCAGCAGAGAATATTAAAAGTTATAATATTAAATTATTTTGAAATACAGAATATTTTTCAAAATGAGAAAGTCCATGTTAACAGCACTTGTAAGTTAGCACTAAAAATACTTTCAGAAAGATTTTTCAAGTTATATGTTTGACTTGACACAAACTGCTTACATTTGTTCATACATACACTTTAGATTTACAGGTCATGGAAGCAATTATAGAGGAATGCAATGGGTTTTATGGACAGTTGGTAATGTCTTGCAGCACAAACAATGTACACAAATAAAGTAGTGCTTTTTAAAGGCTTTGTGAAAGCTTATTTAGTTTGGGTGATGTCTGTCTACTACCGGTCTATCTGACAATCATCTTTTCAATGATAAATCCTTTTTCACTTTCATGAGAGCCTTATGACCATGACAAAGCAGATTATTACGCACACACGTGGCCTTATTAAATGTGTGAGTCTCAGGATGCCTCAGACACAATGCCCCTCTGAGTGATAATAGCGAGCGCACATGTGCTGTGGATAAGGAGCACAGTGTGAGTCCTGGGACATCATCAAGTCTCTCAGACACTCTTTAAGCACATTTGTGTGTCACTTTTTTGCTCTGAGACTCACAGTTTGTGTGTGCATTTCTTTCAGTACCTATCAATAGTTACAGCCGCTCTCTCCTTCCTCCATAGGGAGGAATCCACAGAGACTCTTTAATAAGTGTGAAAGAGAGTCTTGTCTCTCTCTCTCTGTTTTTGAGAATGAGAGGCAATGAATGACCAGCCAGCTGCAGCACTCACTTGGTAATTCTGGATTTTGTATTTTGCTTCTTAAAAGCGTTGTTATTTTTCCTTTTACATTCAAATATTTGATATTTTGAATAGCCATCAACAAGGAGTGATGCTTTTTCCATGCTTCATTTGTTTTAAAATACAGTAAAAACAGCAATATTGTGAAATAATTTTACAATAAAAAACTGCTTTCTACATGCAAATTACAATTAACCAGTTTGTGCCATAGCCATGTTGTAGTAAACATTAATATTAAACAAAAAGCTTTACCGTCACAGATTCCCTCCATTGCCCTGTAGGTCATGACCTTCTAGTGATTCACAACCAGTTTGGGAAAAATGTCCATGCTAACACCGGCCAGATGGACCGCTGAACGTTTCCACAGTTGTGCTTATTCAAACTATTACATATCTTGAATAAAAGCCATGCATAATTATATAAAGGGTTATTACAGCATTAGGGGATTATTTTGAATCTGCAGATTAGTTAGAGTAGCACATGAGTGGAGTTATTCTAAAATGTGACCCAAATTCCTCTATCTTTTGGAAAGCTCCCATTTTGAACACATCGAGGGTCTGCTATCTGATCCTGCAAACAAAGTGGAAAGAGAATGGATGTTAAGATAAAATAAGTATTATATTGTACAATCCTGATAAGAGTCCATTTTTCTCTTCGCTCTGTGCTGTTATGGCCTCTGGGAGCAGAAGTAATGCTTGATGAATTGCCTTTAACATCAAAATGTCCTTGTTATGTGAAACACCTCATGACCCGGGTGACGTCTCTGGAGCTGCGATAAAAAAGCAGATTTCCTAATTATCGTGTCAACATGGAATCTGCTACTGCTAAACTTCACATAAAGATCTGCAGATTTCCCAAAAATTGGAATGTCAATTAAGTTACATAAAGGTTCGAAAGTGCAATAATGTGAATGTAATCATGGTTAAAAGAGGTTGTTGTGTAAAATGAGTGGCCTATTGCTTTTATATAACATTGACTACATAAAAATATTATGGACACAATTCCAACCAACCAACCAACCAAACAAACAAACAAACAAACAAACAAACAAACAAACAAACAAGCAAACAAATAAATAAATAAATACATAAATACATAAATAAACAAACAAACAAACAAACAAATAAATAAAGAAATACTATCCTGGCAGTTGCTGACATAAAACATTGCTACGCAACAATAACAATCTGCTATGTATGGAAGCCCGATTAGCCACAAAAAAGGCAATAGTGACTTTCACAATTCTAACTTTAATTTTAGACTAGACTTTTATCTCACAATTCTGAGTTTATTTCTTACAATTCTAAGTGTATAGTCAGAATTACAAGATGTAAACTTAGAAAATGTAACTTATTTCTGTGATACAAAGCTGAATTTTCAGCATCATTACTCCAGTCTTCAGTGTCACATGATCCTTCAGAAATCATTCTAATATGCTGATTTGGTGTCCAATTAACATTTCTTATTATCTGTTGAAAACAGTTTTGCTGCTTAATATTTTCATGGAAATCGTGACACTTTTTCTTCAGGTTTCTTGGATGATACAGTATATTTCTGTCACTTTTGATCAATTTAATGCACCTTTGTAAATTATAAGTATTAATTACTTAATTACCCAAACGTCTGAACTGTTGTGGAGCTAACTGGATCATGCAAAACAACCAAAATATGACCCCCCATTCCCAGCTTGATATTGCAACCCTGGCTGTTTGTTTGACCAATGGTAAATAGTAGGAGTATTTGGGAAACCTATTTGAAAACGATCAATATTTTTTACATTTACAGTAGAGATTCCGAAATTATATGCTGCACCGTTTAACTACGCTGAGAGTCGAATGCTTTAAAAAAACATCTGTTTTGTCCAAGAGAGTGGCCCTGATATTTTCACCCTTGCTGATGGAGTTTATGAAATACGTTTTTGGATAAACAAACAATCCTTAAAGTGTGTTGGGAGGACAAAAGGGGGCTGATTTGTGGAAACTTCTGGGAGGTCCTGAAAAAAAAGAGAGAGAAAAGAATTAACTGAATTTTCAGAGGCGCAATAGTTGTTAAATTTACTAACACGTGCAAATGCAAAGAGCAGAAAAAAGAGCAAAGGTCATAGAAGGGATGACTAGTTCTTCATGGGTATTTTGCATGGTCATTGCGATGCATATTGCTGATGTTTGCACAAGACACCACGTGCAAAGCATGAAAAACACATGCACATATACATATACAGTATATATGGTTCCACATTCAGCCAAATGCATTTCACAACTTCACTTTTCATGTTCCCCTCAACATCACAGTTCATAAACACCAGACAAAACGTTCCTACATTGATTTTAGGGGAAAGTCTGCAGAGTATCTGTTTTAAAAATTTATTTTCTTTTATTGCAACTTCAGCAAAATAAATACATAAATTAAATTACATTTAATTTAATTATATGATATTTAAAAATATTGTTTATTATTATTATTACTGTTTGTTTGGCAGTGTTGCTACCAAGGAAGCCCGATTAGCCACAAAAAAGGCAATAGTGACTTTCACAATTCTAACTTTAATTTTAGACTAGACTTTTATCTCACAATTCTGAGTTTATTTCTTACAATTCTAAGTGTATAGTCAGAATTACAAGATGTAAACTTAGAAATGTGAAACATAAACTCAGAATTGCAAGTTCATATCTCACATTTCTGAGTTTATATCTCACAATTCAGACTTTTTTGCTCTGAATTCTCAGTTGAAATTTTGTAATTATGATTTTTTTTTTAGTTCCAGTTTCAGTATGAACATAAAAAATATGACCGGAAACCTTGTTTTGAGTTTATATCTCACAATTCAGACTTTTTTGCTCTGAATTCTCAGTTGAAATTTTGTAATTATGATTTTTTTTTTTAATCACAACTTTTTATTTAGCAGATTTACGTTTATATCTCAATTACGGAGTTGCGAGATAATGTTTACATCTATATATATTGTGCAATTCTGAGAAATTGTGAGACAAAAAGTCACATTTACCTTTTTTATCCTATGGCGGAAAGAAGCTTCCATATGGGTGATTTACATCATAATATTACACATATAATAGATAAAGCATAATATAAACATAACAAAACTGATAAAACAAGCTGAAATTAAAGTAAACACAGAAAATATAAAAATAAAATCAAAATCAAAATACTAATAAATACTACATAAACAATACTAAAATAACATCCCAACCAGCCCAATTGCATTAGCTTGACTAATTAAAGGACTATCTGTTTTCCAATTTATGAGAGATGGTGGTATTGTGGTGTGTTAGTGGAATAGAACTGTTAAAACAGGACCAGAACTAACTGTTTTATAATAAGTATGTTTGGCTAATGCTTTTAGCCACTCATACAACCACAGTATTCTCACCTTCATTTAACAAATTTTAGCATGTTTAAATCCATTCCAAATCAGTGCAGAATGCCCATAACATGAACAGATTTCACACTGGCCTGCTAATCAGTCTACAACTAGGCTTCAGATCTCTCAAAGCAGCAGAGATTCTGCAGGAGGCTGTTCTTGGCAGATATTACTATCAGCAGAAATGCTAATGGGATTCACCTCTTACCTATGCAGAGCCAAGAATGTAGCCTCACAGTGGGATAGAGACCTTCTCTCCTTCCCCCGCTACTGTTCCAGAAACTCTTCCCCCATGAGATCACTACCTTCATCACCTCTCAATTACTGACGGCAACATTTCAGGAGACATAAAAACATTATAGAGGATGTTAAAGTTAAGACCATTCAGACTTGCTGCCTGTTTGCTATTTTACAATATGAGCTCTAGTTATTTCCATTTACATGAAGAAAACTTTAAATGTTCTTGAGTTCCAGTTTCAGTATGAACATAAAAAATATGACCGGAAACCTTGTTTTGGTACTTTTTTTTCCACAAAAAGAATGTAGAACTTCCTGTGTGTTAAAGGCCCTGACCTCCATGAAGAAACTATAGCAAAGACTTAAATCAAAGACAAACCCACTTAGTTTTATCATTAAAGAAATCATTTTCAAGGCATAAAATCTAATATCCATACAGCAAAAATGTATTCTGGCCAAAACAAACTTCATATATATGGTAAATATATCAAACTGAAATTTAAAATTGAAAACATATTTCAATTAAACCTCTGAATGATAAAATATATTACAAAATGCACGTCAAGTGGCAAGAAAATACATTTTCAATCTAAAGATGCATTTTGGGTAAATGCTAAATTTATGTATAGACAATATAAATATATTTCTATTGAAAATACATTGAAAAATGGCAAAATATATGAGAAAATATAAGTTACTAAAACTTATTGAAAAAAAATTGTGAATCTATTTTAAAATCTATATTACCAATATATTTGGGGCCATTAATATTGTATATTTTCAAATATTTAACAATGTGAAGACCTGCAATCAAAAGTTAGATTTGAGTTTTAATTCAAACATCTCATTCATTTCCTATTTTCTGAACTAAGTTGCCTCATTGGTGTCTAAATGAATTTCTACAAACAAACAAACAAACAAACAAACAAACAATCTGAGACAAACTTAATACTTACATGAGACAAAACTGAGAAACCATTACAATAATGATAGAAATAGCTCAGAGCAATACGATTTTACTCTGTCTGGGAGGTTTGGGGAGCTCAGGAGAGATATGATAAGAGGCAACATCAGTGACGGCACCCAAAGCTATCAGTAAAGATGAAGCCCAGCTGTGGTCATGGCATGTCGTGTCCCAGGGGGCTTCAAATCTCTAAATCTTTCTCCTCTACCCTCTGTTTGAGGAAGCGATTTAAGAGACAAAGAACAACAGTGTTTTAAAACAGTCATCAGTGAACCCAAATTTTTACACTGGACCAAATGTCCAACAAATGTATCATTAAATGTCAACTCTATACAATAAATTACAAAAAATGAGAATAAAATAACAACAACAAAAACCTAAAATAAAATATAAAAAGTGATTAATATTACCATGAACTATGCAAAATCAATAACATGACACATTAATTAGTATTAGTCATACTACCAAGTGTTGGATGCACAGTCTTTTTCATCTCCCTTTGCAATCTACTGTAGTTAGATTTTACCAGAATGTAGCATTGTTTTTTCCCTTCTCTCTGTGGCCGTTTTTGGGTTGCAACACACCAACAGAGAACCACTGGCTTAGGATTTTTAGTAGGCCGCCCAGCATTGCTACATCTCCAGATCAAGAAAAAAGGGCAACATGAAGTCATTTCTGAGAAACTACTTCTATGTAAAACTGTAGTAATCCCAAAAAACCCAGTGACAATCTAATCAAGCAAAAAACCGGATGTAAAAAACAGGCAACTCCAGGCCCTTTGGGCAAACAAACGGTCACTAAATCGTCCACAGGCACATATACAGCCCAGCTAATTGAATCCATCAGCACATGAGCACAGCCGTGGAGAATGTGAACCACAGCCATGGGAATAAGAACTATTTAAATCTTACGACGTTACGCTGCCGGGGACCGGGGCAGATCTCTCACGTGGGACTGTAATTAGTCATCGTTATTTTTCAATCACTGGCTGTCGTTTTGAATTGACGTGAGGGACGTTTTGACAGTTATAACTGTACTGTCATTGGCCCCTGTTTCACCTGGCATTAACTGTATCATTGTTCCACCATATTCTATTACATCAGAGGTTACAGATCCTCAAAATATTCTGTCACCTACCAACTTAAAAAAAGAAAAATACAGATAATTCAAAATGCTTCCCTATTATTTTGATAGATAAACACAAGGTATCTGGTCTTCTATGCTTTGCTATTTTAAAATCATTCCCACAGTAAAGGATGCTTATAGAGATTAACAGTGAAAATGGGAAGACAATTACTCCACAAAAATAGATAAAATTATGCGAGTGAGTATTAGTGTGTTGCCTTTTTTTACATTACAAGAGCAGAATAAAAACAAAAACAAAAACAAAAACAAACCAAGCAAAAAACCGGATGTAAAAAACAGGCAACTCCAGGCCCTTTGGGCAAACAAACGGTCACTAAATCGTCCACAGGCACATATACAGCCCAGCTAATTGAATCCATCAGCACATGAGCACAGCCGTGGAGAATGTGAACCACAGCCATGGGAATAAGAACTATTTAAATCTTACGACGTTACGCTGCCGGGGACCGGGGCAGATCTCTCACGTGGGACTGTAATTAGTCATCGTTATTTTTCAATCACTGGCTGTCGTTTTGAATTGACGTGAGGGACGTTTTGACAGTTATAACTGTACTGTCATTGGCCCCTGTTTCACCTGGCATTAACTGTATCATTGTTCCACCATATTCTATTACATCAGAGGTTACAGATCCTCAAAATATTCTGTCACCTACCAACTTAAAAAAAGAAAAATACAGATAATTCAAAATGCTTCCCTATTATTTTGATAGATAAACACAAGGTATCTGGTCTTCTATGCTTTGCTATTTTAAAATCATTCCCACAGTAAAGGATGCTTATAGAGATTAACAGTGAAAATGGGAAGACAATTACTCCACAAAAATAAATAAAATTATGTGAGTGAGTATTAGTGTGTTGCCTTTTTTTACATTACAAGAGCAGAATAAAAACAAAAACAAAAACAAAAACAAAAACAAACCAACAAACATAAAAAAAGAACACGACAGAAAATTCACAATGATTATTTGTAATATGAATAATTACACAATACAGTTATATATATAAAATATAATATAGTTGTTTTTGTTGACCAAAGCTATTAAAACGTTTTCATAAATTGTAGATGACAAATTCAAAGTTTAGATAAAGTTTAAAGACACAAGTTTATAGTTTTACAAATAAAGTTAGACATAACCAAAAACAATGATTATTTCACATAGTGGAAACAAAAGTGTGCAAAATCTTAGATTTCAAAAATCATCTGAATTAATTACATTAATTCATTAATACATTAATAAAGTGAAGAGTGTTGGACAAATGTAGTAGCGAAAAAATTGATTAAATTAATTCTTTGCTGACAATGTGCAATATTTAAAAAAAAAAAGATTGTTCACGATGCTAATAATGAGTGATTTAGTTATTATTGTGTCTAAAAGAAGAAACATGACAATAATTAAAGACTTGAACATCATAAAAAACAGCATCAGTTGATTCCTGATGTGGTTTCAATGATCTGACCACAATGCATCATGGATTTATTAAATGCAATCCAGTTGTGATCCTGAACAGAAAGCACATGTTAACACTGATGTCACAATATCCATTTCTCCTTCTGCCGGTTTCTTTCCACTCCAACTTCTCCGATCCAGCTTCCTCCCCTTCCTTCGTTCTCAGCTCGTCTCAGCTGGGACGTACCCAGCTGAAGGCGTGCAGCGGGCTGCTTCATCATCCGATCCTCTCATCTCATCTGATCTCCAGGCTGTGGAGACATTTGGCATGCGGCTCGGGCCCCTCTCCCTGACATCTTCATCAGGGGGGCCGAGCCGAAACGGCAACTCTCTGGTTCCGGTGCAAGGCGTCGCCGCCGGGAGGCCTCTCGCCCTTTTCTGGAAGGTTACAACACCCCGGTAAGCCCTGCCTCGGAAAGGGAGGCAGCGCGGCCCTTGAGGTGCAGCCAGCCAGAGGAGCTCAGCTGCGGCAGAGCGTTGGCACGAACCACTCGCCATATACCTGCACCATCCTGTGAATCTAATTGGCATTCAGTGGCTTGATAAATGAATTGGTATAATGGGACAATATACTTGACATATGTGGGGCTCTCTTGAGAAATAGGATTCATCTTTTGTACTTCACACGTCGACATGCTGCAGATACCGACACAGGCCCTTCCAAAACAGCTGCGGCCCTCACACTGACAGCCCCCTACCCATCACCTCGGCAGCCAATCAGCTCGCAGCCAGGTTCACGGCCCAATGCTTCCCTCCACGGGGGATGAGATTAGAGAAGAGAGGAGCCAAAGCTCTACCTCTCGCTTTCACAGCTGCTTCGAGGCGACCCTCGAAAAATCCACATTCGTTTTCAGCCCTGTTGAAGCATCCAGCGATCTGTGTCTCCGTTTCTTCCCGGGACTAAAGGCAGACCGCAAATACACAAACAGAATCAACCTCATTTGTCTCAGGGGCAGTGAATAACAATGAGCATTGGATCAACACATTTGCATATCCAATGAATACAAACCGGTCACATCTGTGAGCGGGACGCATCAAGGCTCTCTCGTAGGTCACCATGGTGATAAATAACAGACGTGATATCACAATAAATGAGCCGGTTTGCGCTCTCCGCTTTCCCCTTTTGTTTTTATTTATGTTTATTTGCTGGGAAATCATTGCGATTTCCATTATTCGCAAGCAGGCCAAACAGTACGAACAGACTCAAACAGTTCTCAGTGGAACTGCAACTCGGAAAGCGACCTTTGCATGTTCCTGGGGTCAAAGTTTGCAGCAGGTTTGGATGATCCATCGCCGTATAATCGGTTCAGGCCTCAGCGGATGGCGGTCTGAGAACAGACGCATCATCAGAAGAACTGACCGGAATAATGACATCATATGTGTCAGTAGATCTTATAAAGGCAAAACAAGAGAAGCCTTTAAATCAGTGTTTGTTCATATATATGTGTTTGTGTGAGAGAGAAAAAGCATAGGACAGATTCTAATTACTGCGTAAAAACAACATATGGAAACTTCATTGTCCATTTCAT